ACAAAAATGCATTTCACCCATAAAAATATCGTATGATATATTATTAAAAAAAATACCAATAATACCAATTGATTAAAAATTTATCACTACCAACATTACCACCATCACAACCTTCACCACATCATTTCACCACAACCACCACCACAACCACCACTACTACCCCGTATTATTTACCATGATCATCATCTTCATCGATTGTAATATAGATGTAGAAATATAATTAGTAGCAACAATACCACAATCCATACCTCGTCTGCAACAAGAAATTCATCAAATACAACCGCGGCAACAACAGCAACAAGAGCGCTATTGTCGTCAACACCAACAGCAGCAACAAAATGTTTTCTTAAATATGCTAATAGCTCACAAAATAGTAATAATAATAAGCAAACTAATCAAAATTGTAATAATTTTTTCAACTTAAACAATAATTCTAATTTCAAAAATTCAACAATTCAACAACAACAACAACATCAACAACAAATCTCTACAACAACAACAATAAACTCAACAACAAAATGTTTTAACTATTCGTCGTCAAATATATCCACTTCGAATACAAATTTTCTTAGTTTTACTGAAACGGATGAAGTATTACAAATTGGTATGCACAAAGTGCTCGTCTATGTTAAGAATCATCGCGACGCTTGGCCATTCATGGATCCAGTTGAGGAAGATATAGCGCCTCGTTATTACTCTATTATACGCAGGTAATTATAATTATTGAGTAATTATTATTATTGAGTTAACAAAATATATATTAATTTATTTTCCTTCCGTTTAGGCCAATGGATTTGTTGAAAATGGAAGATAAATTGGATAGTGGTGAATATAACAGCTTTCGTGATTTTCGCAATGATTTTAAATTAATTGTTAATAACTGTCGTCTATATAATGGCCATCATAATGGTGAGTATTTATATATATGATTAAAAATAAGTATTTTCTTTAATTAGAAATTGTTAGAATTCCCCCTATAACACGGCAGATTGGTTCCGCGTTATAGGGGTATATCCGTATACCTCGTATACACACGTGCAAAGGTACACGAAGCTAATTATGAACTGTAGAAATCCTCGCGTTATATGGGGAAATGCCCATGTTATACGGGGGATTGAAACCGCGTAATATGAAAACGCGTTATTAGGGTACCGCGTTATAGGAGGGATTACTGTATAATTAATTAAATCTAGAGACTTGTGGAAGACAAACCCTACCACAGAGGGAGTTCTTCTGCATTTGTGACGAAAATATTACCCAGTTCGATGAGTTTATACATTTAATGTTATCTATTGTTGACATTATGAGATTAGAGACTTTAAGTTATTTTCATTTCAGACAGTTTTTTATTAGTTCTATGAAACTTACCAGAAGCAATTTTTAACAAACCTAATTTAAAGGATTTCAATTAATATAATAAGTTGATTCTATATACATTATAGGCTTTATGTTATTTCTTATTTCAAAGTATATTTCACTAGTCAAAGTATAACTCAACCCAAACAATTTTAAAGAACCCTAGTTTTATAATCTTCGTAATCTATTGTTACCATCCTATAGTTATGAATCTATGATGGAAAAGAGTAGATGGTATGGAAAATGTTTCAATAAGGAAGATAAAATAAGCCTGGGTTGCATTGAAAAAACCTTGCAATCTTTATAAAACAAAGTAAATAAAATAAATGTATAGACCCCAGGTTAGAATATCTAGTGTAATATGATGAGTGACGTAGCCTGCAAGGATTTATAAAACAGATAACATGAAAGGAGTTACAAAGACATATACATGGCTACGATTTGGAAAGGTTATAATAGTGAGAGAGGGAGGGGTTAATTTATTAGTAAGAATGGATAGCGAATGTATTGGATTTAAATTGAAATTAATAAGGATCATGGCGTAAATACTTCACCACTTCAAAGATCGATTGAGCTCAAGTTTCTGTGTGTTTGGGACAGGAAAACAGATGTCAGGAGGAGTAGAGGTGCAGCTATCACACACGTTAGGCTATGTTCTTATAAATGTATATATTATCCTTTGACTCATTTTCTAAGCATAAGGAAATGACGACTCCTTCGTCATTTTAATAACGCCATTTCATGTCACGCACTTTCTTCAACTTCCCTCTTTTTCTTACATTTAAGGATTTGTCTTTGAAGAACTCAAATTTCTTAATTTTTCCTCTTTTTCTCACATTTAAGGATTTATGTTCACAGAATTATTTTAAATTATGACACAAATTTAACTTTCTTTTTTTTTCTCATCCTAGAATATACGGAAATGGTAAACAATTTACAAGATGCTTTTGATAAGGCAACAAAGAAGTATTTTGAGAATTTGTCTGATGACGATGATGATGAGTTTAACTTAGCTTATCCTACTGCAGATACCAAAATGAATGTATTTCGTGAGAAATATATGAAAAAGTCAAAGGAATCGAATGCAGTAGGAGCAGTGGATAAAGTTGCATCACATAAGAGTACACATAAGAAGAAAACAAGTAAGAAAGATAATAGCATAGACGATGATGAAGATCAAGATGATGCAACTAGTGAAGATATTGATATGGATGAGGAACGTGAACAGAAAGGCAACAAGCGTAAACGCAAAGAGAAAGATAAAAGACACAAGAAAAAGTTGAAAACAAAAAATGTAGAAGAAAATTCTTTATCTGATTTGGATGATGATGAAACTATTAAAAAGGATATTGTGAAAAACATAAAAAGTTGTATTGAAAATACGGATGAAGAAATTTTAGAAAAAGTGAACGTAGAGAAAATAAGTAAAAGTAAATTAATGAAAGAATCTGCAAAAAAGAATAAAAAACAGAAGATTGAAAAAGTGGGTAAATCCTCAAAGTCTTCTAAAACAAAGCAACATAGCAAATCTAAAAAAGGTGTGAGAAAATCTTCTAAACATAAACATCACATTTCAGATGCGTCTGATTTGTCTGAAGATGAATCGACATATTCCACAGATACACAGCACGAGACCGATGATGATGAGGATGATGAAAATTATGAAGTCAATAATAGCAAAAAATCAAAATACAAAAATAGTAAAGAAAATGTGATTGGCGCCAAAAAACAATCAGCCATAAAACATTCACATGCTTCGACATCAGCCGCTGCGCTTAAACGACAGAACAAAGCTAAAAATACTAAATCGAAAGTGAAATCTAAAGCCTCAGTCAGTGAAAGCGACCATTTAAGTAGTGATTGTGAAAAACCTCTAAAAGCCAAAAATGTAGGTAGCGATTTCCCACCACCAGCTGCCGCAGCGCTTGCAGCTTCAGCGTCAGAATTAGAAGAGGATATGGATGACAGAGATTTTGATTCGCGTTCACGAAGTATGTCTCCTTTTAAAGTTGATTTACATAAAAAATACTCAAAAAGTGCACTTAATGATGATCTCTCCGAGTTGTTAACAACAGTTAAAAAGGTTCCCGGTTCTAAAAATTTTGGAAAAAGCTTAGAATTTTATAAAGAAGAAGATTCCAAATCGGCATCTAGTCGTAATTCATCAGTTTCACGTGATTCTAGTGCTGAACGCAAGAAACAGAAACCAACGCAATCTAAAACTCGTAATGCGAAGAAAAAGGCAGAAAGCCCAAAAGTGGAGAAGTCACCCAGTAGTAAATCAGGAAAGAAGACAACTGAACCGCGTCCATCCACTACTACAGAGGAAGAGTTAGAGATGTTAATGCCCTACTTGGATAAGTATGAACTAATTAAGTTCAGACGTAGTAGGGGTATGCCAGCTAAAAACACTCAACCAGCGGTCGCTTCGACCGCTAAAGATAGCAAAGCAACTAAAGAAACGAGTACAAAGAAACAAGATACTACTAAAGCGGTAGAAAAAGAAAAAGAAAAAGAAAAAGAAAAGGCAAAGCCAACTCAAGAAAAGAAACGTGGACGAAAACCAAAAAATGCTGTAAAAAATATAAAAAAAAACGACACGGTCGAAAAAAAAGATACACCACCAACAACAAAAACAATAAAAACAACAAAAACAACAAAACCAGTAGATAAAACATCCAAAACAGCAAAAATTATACCAGATAAATCTTCAAAACCCGTTGATGTAGTTGAAAGCGTTCATAGTGTTAAAGATATAAGTGATATTAGTGATGATGGGGCGGAAAATGAGAGTTTGCAAAAGCTTGTCGAAAAAAAAGACGAAAAACAATCTCCGAACAAAACTACAGCGAATAAAGCCAAGGAGAAAAAAATAACTGGTGGAGAAAAGTCACCAAATAAGAAAAAAGAAAAGACAAAAGTAGTTTCTGCAACTGTTTCAGATGCTGAGCCCGAAAAAGAATTAGTTGAGAAATCAGTTGCTCCCGTTCCACCTAAAAAGCCCATCCCAAAAAAAACAAACCCAACTGCGGCAAACAAAAAATTTAATTCTAAATCTGGTGGCGGAACTGGGAAGAATTCGAGTGACATGAATGCTTTAGATGTAGAGACTGAACAAACTTTAAAAGACATTAATCGCTGGCTGGAATATACACCGAAATTTGCAGAATTTAGCTCCGCTTCCAATTCTCCCACGCGCTACAACATACTTGAAGAAATCGAAAAGTTAGAACCCTCCGATTTCAGACGTCCTGTAGCGATTGCACAACCAAAAACTGAAGTCTTAGGAGAGCTAGTGTCGGATAGTGAAACTATAGAATCAACAATTTTAAAAAAAGACATTTTAACAGAACTTATACCTAGTTCATCGATTTCATCAATTATCGATCGTGCAGGCACGGCAAGTAGTGTGGGCTCTAGCTGTAGTACTCCTCCGCATTCAGTTACATCAGGCAATTCCGTTGGCAGCACTTCAGCAAATGCTTCGTCAAATAATTCAACTGTCAATGCACCATCAATATCTTCAGTTTCTTCTGCAAATGCTGCCAATCAATCGGCATTGCTTATTCCGCCACCAGTTACAGTAGCTAATACTTTAACAACAATAGCACCCCCAAAACCAAAGGAGCCAAGTACAACGCAATTAATATTAAATCCTCCACCACCTCCACATATTAAAAATCAATTGGCTAGAGAAGCGAAAAGAAAATCTCTTAAAGAGAAACTCCAAGCAGCATCAAATCCCCGAAGAAAAGATTTGCTGCGTACAATTGATCGGTTACAACCTGGAAAATCAAAGGGTAATTTAATTCAAAATGTTAATAAAACTGATGAAACTCATGCACTTGGTCCAGTTGCGTCAAAAACTAAAGAAGTGAAAAACGCATTAATCGTTGAAACAACCGAAAATACACCAAAGTTGAGTTTAGGTACGGTAATTAAAACTGATGATTTTACGTTAGGGAAGTCACACACTTTTATTGATGAACTAGCCAGTAAAACTGATGCTAAAGTTACAATTTTGTCAAGTACTGAAAAGGATGAGAAACAAAAAGAGGATACTTTAGACCCCGTAAAGCCATTTATAAAGTCTACTACATTTACAACTTCCTTGTCCGCTTCAATAGATGGAACTGAAAAGAAAACTGATGAGTCACCTTCTACTATAGACCCACCAAAACCATTTCAGTCATTGTCAGATAAATTAAAAACTCCAGATATAGCTACAGCTTCAAAAACGACCAAAGAAAAACCTAACTTTAGTGTTTGGTTTAAGGCTTTTGGTGCTCCAAAGAAAACTAAAAAGTCGGATGAGGATGAAAAACCACAAACATCACAGCAGCCAAATGAAATGAACGAACCAAATAATGACGCTATGTGTACCGGTAAACTTGACGAAAATTCACCACCTTCAAATTCTATTGGCCTTCTTGCACCCAAATCACCTTTATCAACAAATGTAAATGAAAGTTTCTCTTTGCCTACAGCACCACGTCAGCGCAAAGCCAGTACTGGCAGCACAATATCTGAGCGTTCTTCATTTAGCCAAGATCCAGATTCACCCCGTATAGCCATTGACGAACGTTATTCAACTTATGGTGCAGGAAATTATACATCACCTATAGGTGCCTCACCAATCGGTGCCTCACCCATTATGGTCTCACCTAAACCAGATGAAATAAGCAAACCTACTTCACCGTATCCATTAAACGGTGCTATAAAGGTTGGTTTCTATCAAGATACAACTACAAAAAGTAGCCCTGATAAAAGCTGTAGTCCGCGCGAAATGCCTTCCCCTTATCCGCAATACTCACAACACATTTATTCGTCTGCATCTTCACCAAACGTATCCACACCAGATTTGAGTGGAACATCACCCTATGGTGGAGCTAATAGCTACAATCCATCAGGTTCTGAAGCTTCAAAAACACCTGTTTATTCAGCAACATCACCGCTACCGAATTCGTATGAGCAATATAAACAACCACGTTCACAAGAATCAGATTATAATTCATCAATGAGTCCAAGTACGCCAAACCCACATTCACCATACCAACAGACAAAAAGCTCTCCATATACAACGGCTGCACAACCACACCACTCACCATATCATCATCCAAATTCTCCTTATCACTCGCAACAACAGCATTCTCCTTACACTGCCGCAAATAGTCCAGCGCCACATAGCGGTAGCTTACACTCACCATTGCAACAACAGCACAGTCCAATGACAAGCAGTGTAGACTCACCAGCGTCTTCCGCCGCCACACAACCTCCGACACCTTTGGCACATTCACCGGCTGATCAACAACATTCACCATATCACCAACCTGTGCTTTCACCATATCAACAGCAACCAAACGCCAATATGTCATCTCCTTACAGCCAAGGCAGCATCAGTCCCACAACTTATCCAATATCGACTCCAACAGATACAAACAACTTTGGTAATCAACAAAAACCAAATGAAATTGATAATAAAACGAATGGGACAAATCAAAACAACGAGCAACATTATATGCAAAATAGCAACAATAGTGGTTCACTTGTTAACGCCAACTCTGCGAGTGCAGCATCTCCTTACTCGTTAGCAACTCATGACAACTACCATCTACAACATCAATCACAAGTCCAAAAGCCGCAAGATTCACTTGCTGCTATGTATAATCCGTCTGTGAATAATTCGGCTGCAGGGTCAAGAGATGGAAGGCAAGTGGATAAACATGGAGATTGGAATGTGGAAACTGGTCAAATGACGACCCAACTACAGATGCAACAACAGCTTAACTCAGACAATAATCAACAAATTATTTCCAATAATTCAAATAAATCTCAGTATCCAAACTATGCACAATATCAAGCCACAAATCAAGCCACAAATACGAGTGTAAAAATACCCAACCCTCTGGAGACGGCTTCTACAGACAATCGAAAAGCTGATAAAGTTGATGGTAGTAAGGTGGCTGCCAATATGTACGGTGGGTAACATTTGAAATTTATATAAGTTTATATGTAATTTTATTAAAATAAAATCTTTATTATGTATTTTGTAGGTGCGAGTAACGATATTACTGCGTTCATGCAACAAATGAACCAACAGGCTCAAACACTAGCGAACAAAAACTCTAGTACCGCTGTCAATACAGGCGGTATTAATCAACTAAAGCGTGCGGCACATGATTCACTTGATGTCTTTGGTGTTGGTGGTGGTGCTTCTGCTAATAAAATGCAAAAAGTTGATGGAGTCATGAATACAAATAATAATAATTCAACGGCAGCTTTAGTTCAACAGCAGCTGCAAAAACATCAACAAGTTCAGCAGCAACAAACTTTACATCAACAACAACAACAACAAACACAACATCAACAAATGCAACAACAACAACAACAGCAACAACAACAACAACAGCAGCAACAACAACAACAGCAGCAGCAGCAACAACAGCAATCATTTTCAAGTCAGCAAAATAAACAACAGCAAATGTTTGAAAGTTTTATGGGTTCAGCACGTTTGGGTGTATATGGTCGGCAACAAACTGGTTGTATGATACAACAAAATCAAAATCAAAATCAAACACAACAGCAAACACAAAAACAGCAAAATACGCAACAACAACAACAACAACAGCAACATCAAAACCAACAAAATAGTCAATTAATGCAGCAACAATCTCAGCAGCAGCAGCAGCAACAACAACAACAAAACAAATCCGTCGATAACATGAATCAAGCGTTGACTAATACAAATAATACAGACGCAAACTTTTTGCAGCAACACAAACAACAACAACAACAACAGCAGCAGCAACAAAATCTGTTTGGTAGCAGTGGCAAAGTAATGAATCCGTCACAACAATCCAATCAAAACTATAATCAACAGGGACAGCAACAGCAACAGCAACAACAGCAGCAGCAACAACAACAGCAACAGCAGCATAAAGATAAAGTATCGAGTGCTGCAAGTTCTAGTGCAACGCTCGACAATAATAATTTATTGCATTTAGCAGCAAATAATCTAGTGACAGCACATCATTTGTCGGCATATAAAAAACCAACGCCACCACCACAAACATACAATAATCCGTCTAGCTTATTGCATACATTTCCTGAGGGTATGCTTAACTTAACAGCACCTGGATATTATGACAAGAACATGCCACCAGCGGCACATATGTACAGTGCTGCAAAAAATTTAACACCTCAACTTTATGCGAATTCTCTTACCAATTTTAATAGTGGTCAACAAGCTGCGCCTGGAAATTATGTGCCCACATTGAGCAACAACAACGGCAGCAATGCAACAGCGGTAAGCAACAATAGTAATACAAATCAGACAACTGTTGCCTTAGATAACAAAAATGGTGCCGTACCAGCAGCGCCACAGCCCGCTAAGCGAGGACGTAAGAAAAAAGCATCAACAATAGCAGCTGAGGCAGCAGCTGCAGCGGCAGCGGCAGCAAAACAGCAACAAACACAGCAACAGCAGCAGCTAAAAGATCAACAGCAGCAAAGTTTGCTTGCTGCACAATATGGTAGTGCGAGTGCGGTTGCAGCACATGCATCTCAATTATCAAGCACAGCAACGTCACATGTGCAGTCTGTACATCAAAATCCAAGCGTAACAGCAGCACATCAGTTACAAGCATTACACAATTTTCATTTATACGCTGGTTTGAAGTCTGGAGGCGTTGGTTCACCATTGTCCTCCGTACCGACAGCAGTTAATAGCTTGTCGAATGCAAATGCAGCAGTTAGTGGTCCAGCCACTACAACTGCAAGCGGCACAACAAATGCTGTGACTGCCGCTGCTATTTCACTGAAGACAACTGCTGTACAAGTTGCTGCTACGGGTATGGTACCTGCCAGCGCTTTCAACTATGGCCCAACGCCCGGTGGCTTGGGTCTTTATGGCGATCAAGCAGCAGCTAGTACTTATTTAGACCAACTCCGCGATGCATCCAATCCATATTATATGCCAACGCATCACACTACTGGCAGTACCGATACGAATGCTGATAAAACACAAAACACACTTAATGCAGCTACTGCTGCCGCCTCCTCATATCAATTTTTAGCCCATCCATCTACGCGTGCATCGCCTTATCCTTTCATTAATACGGCAGCCGCGACACAACTTGATGCAAACTCACAACTTTATCCATCGTATGATTATGCACGTATGATGTTTAATCCAAGTTTGTTAGGTGCATCGGCCAGTGCAGCTGGTTATGCACAACCACCTGCTGCTTATCGTTCATCCACATTAGGCATGACAAAGCCATATGATATAAACCATCAGACATGGTACTAGCAGTGCGCCGATGCCGCCCAAGATGGACTGACAATCAGTGGGGCGGCACATGATCAACAACAATTACAACAAACTGAACAACAGCATCAGCAGCAGCAACAACAACATCAGCAGCAGCAACAACAACATCAGCAGCAACAACATCAGCAGCAACAACAGCAACAACAACAACAACAGCAACAACATCATCAACAGCAGCAGCAACAACAACAGCAGCAACAGCAACAACAGCAGCAGCAGCAGCATCAGCATCATCAACAGCAACTTCAACATCTGCTCCAGTCACAACATCATCAATTAGACGAACATTTACAACAGCATCTTATATAAAAGAATTATAGCAACATACTACTGAATTAGTAAGTAGTTTCTTCACAACGCTGGGCGTATCATATAAAAATATTAGATGATAAAGTATATTTGTGTCTTTAAGTGTACACTACAAAAAATTTATAAAACTATTTGTTAGAATTCTCATAAATAGGTAGAAGTGTATTCAACTGTAAATTAATCATTAGATTATATTATATATTTTCATTTTTGTTTCTTAATATAGTGTCCTAATTTCTTTTTTGTGTTATACAGATTGTAAATAAATAGTTTCAATTTTAGCTAAGAATATAAGATTTTACATTTTATAACTCTGTAAGATGAGTTTTTATAGTTTTCCTATTAGCAACTTCCAAATGATTTTAATTTAATTTAAAAATTTTAGTTTTTGTTTAATATTGTTAAGAAATTACTTCACAGCACTTCTATATAATGTTCCAATTATTTTTAAAACTAATTAGCTGAATAATTGATGTTTTTAATTAATACATATATTAATAATTTTTTAATTTACTATCCTGTTATATTAATAATTTTTTAATTTACTATCCTGTTATATTCATAATTTTTTAATTTACTATCCTATGCAATGGTTATAAGTTGTTCTTAATAATTAACAGAATTTTATGCCTAACAATAGCTGCACTAATTGATATAAATCTTTGTTATAAATGTATATTGTGTAAATAAATGTAATATAAGTAAAAAGTAATAGATAAAGACACAAGTATACTTTAAATATCTGATTAAGTTAAATAAAAAAATATATAACTGGTCTTAAACTGTTTATCCTTCTGTTCGCTAAAGGAAAATCTCATTTTGAAAGGTGATTCCTTTATTGAAATATATTTTTATTATATAATACTATTACATTGTATTAAATTTAAATTGTAAATTAGCTATTGAATAATTTTAAGCTCTCTTCAAATCTTTTTATAAAAAAGATATATAATTGTTATTAAATAAAACAAAAAATAGTTTAATTTTGTATTAAGATTGATTTTTAATTGTACAAAGCAGATATAATTATTTATTTATAAGAAATATAAAATAAGTTACACTTAAATATTCATACTATTACATGTTAGTTTATAGAGTATGGTTTCACATTAAGAACAAAACATTAATATATAATTATGTAGTTTAAAGCTAATTTCTGTAGAGTTTTTATATGTAATTTTTTTTATTTGTTTTATAAGGTAGTTCTTATTTGACAACTTTTTATAGAATAATGAAATATGTAATTAATTTATTGTGTAGAGTTAGTAGTGTATTAACATTCCTAGTTAAGTTGTTGTAACAAAAAGAAAATCATAATTATGCTTATATATACAAATATATATAAATATATTATATACATATGAATTAAATTAAGCGAATCACTATTTCAGATAAATTACTAAACATAATCACAAAAATTAAAACACAATAACACTGTTGTACAATTTTAAGAAAGTAAATATCTATGTATATGTAATATGTGTATAATTATTAATATATAAAATAGTTTATAAATATATGCATTATATAAATATAAATATATATATAGCAAGTGTCTTAGTCTCATATGTACATGTACATATATTTGTTTGTTTTATAAAATCCTAAGAGAATTTACATAAGTTCGTTAATAAATAAATTCAATTTTAATATTAAATACAAAAACTAAAAACAAAAATACACGATACACAAAAAATTTAAATTTATTAAGAATTCATTTTTTATAAATGTTACTAAATAATAATTTTAAAAACTTAAAATTGTTTAACAATAAATTAAGCTTAAATAATTTTATATATTAAGTTATATATATATCAAAATATACATATACATATATTTATACTAATATATTCTAATTATACTTATATATAATATATATATATATATATATATACAAATATATAAACATATATTATATTTAGAGTAATGAAAGAATAAACAAAAAATATTTAATTTAAAATTATTTTAAATTAAATATAGTAATAATAATAAGAGTATTTAATATACATTCACTTATGAATTATATTAAAATAACAAATTGAATTTAAAACATTAAAAAAAGAATAAATATATTATATAAAATTATATACAATATACCTAAATATTAATACATAAGTGCAGATATATATTATGTGTGGTTAAAGCTGCACAGTAAAATAAAAAGTACACATTTTAAATAAAAAATAATTTTAAGGTAAATTTTTTCTTGCCGATAATGGCGTGTCTTTTTATGACGAAAGAAACTATTTAATTTTTATATATAATATTTTGTCATTATAGAGTTTTAAGTAAGTCAAATAATTTATTTTGGTGTAAATAAAGACTAGTTGATGAGCTAGCTGGACTTGGCGTCTCTCCTATAGAATCTTCTGTTTTAATCTCTGCTTCTGTTAGCTACAGAGGAAAGTTGATTAATCGTAATTTTTTGTAACAGGCGAATAGAAAGTGCCTAGATCAAGACCTACATGAGCACTGTACTTTCTTTACTGAACTTCAAGAATTTTGGTGCTCAAAAGTAAACTGAAAGTATCTAGGTTAATATCTGTCTTAACGAGACACTAGACTATAAGACGTCATGCAGCCAGGCTTGGTCTGTTCTATCGTATTTTCCTGAAGTACATGTCTACTGGCGTTCAATGAAAAGGCACCAGAGCACCGTTTGTGTTATTATTCACGCTTGTCTAGAGCTAAATTAAAACTGCTGCACTTCTCATTCTTTAACGCATTTGGTGGTATTTCCAGCACTAATACTTGATTTTATCAATGTATCTTGCTGGTTCTTATATGCCCATTCTTCTACTCACTATTACGAGGAATGTGGGATGTAAAACGACTTTTTTAACTAGTGATTTAGCCTGTCTAATTTAAATCTGACTAACGGTTCCAGTTAGGGTTCGTATTTGATTTCTTGGCAAACGGCAGTCTTGAATGTAGGCAGAATATCTATATATCAAGCATCAACCAGGAATTGTAATTGCGAATATACAGATTAGGATTTCGAGGGTGAAGGAAAAGTGAATCAGGACACTTCAATAGTTCGGATTTAAAGATCAATAGGATTTTAACGAATGTGAATATTAAGGCATGAGAACAGATGGCCGACGTCATGGGGAGTTGCATGACAGTTATGGCGCATATTCGGAATTGTTTAGTCTTCGATAGTTATGGTATGCAGTATCATTACTATACGTATTTTTTGGAATTATATTGGTTATCTTATTTATCTTGAGTGTTATTGGCTTCTTTTAGGGTGGTTACTTGTGCTATATTATCCAGAAATATCAGTAGAGTATAAAAAGTAAATGGTTTTAGACCTGACCGCTTTGTGATCTGTGACACTTTTTTCATCCATGCCTCTTGAGGTATAAATTTTGAAAATTTATCGTATGCGCTACGCTATTGCTTTTATAAGAATTTTGTTACCAATACTGCAACTAAAATGTTGAGTAGGGTCTAAAATGGTACAACTTTTTTTCATTACTTTAAATGTAGATATGATCTATGAGGAACAGATCACAACAGATCATTTAAGTTTTTTGTGATTATAATTGCTTTAAGAAACTGTTCTCATCCTACTTATCAATAAGACAACCGCCTGAAAGTATGCAATAATTTACTTTGATTTGGTAGTGCTGGACTTGCGCTCTCAAATTGTGTTGCAATATCAGAGATATATGTATATATCTCAGATATTGTTGTTTTATTTTTATCGGTTAATATTGTCCGCATTGACCTCTAAAATTTTAAACATCTTATTGCATAAATTAATATATTAATGTCGTATTAATATTCATATGTTTATTTTTTAATATTCAATTATTAATTTAATAAGTGTAACATTTGTTCCATATAAAATAGAGTTCAGGAAACATCTGTTAGAAAAACTGCATATCGAATTGCATTGGTTAAAATATAAATTAAATCAAGGCAAGTTTCACTTCACATCTGTTAGTTTGTAATTCAATAATTCAATGATGGAATAATGCAATAAAAAATAATAAACAAATATTAAGAAAATTGTTAGAGATTAATCGAAACAAAGATACAAAGCCGCAATTGATTTTTTTTTTTTTGTATTTACATACAATATATAACAGAAATCGTGACTTTTGTTTACTTCCAGTATCTCACGACTTTTCCTATAGATTTTTTACTTCACCAGTAAACATATTCCCTTTAATTTAAATAATAAATTTATAATATGAAAATGTGCAACTAAAGACTAAAGACCTGACTTAGACGAGTTATGTTTGAATTCTGAGAATTTTAACGTTTTTTCGCAGAACCACTTGAGGGTGGGAACTCCGGTAATGAATTAATTGCATGCAGCAGGGAACTCCTCCTTTGACTTAAAATGCAGGTTTGATTAAGAAAATCTTACTAGAAATAAAAATATAAAATTTTTAGAATTTGTACTTGTCGTACTTATGGTTAATTATAGATATTTTTTCATTTAACTTATTTTAATTATTTTATTAGCGTGTGCACTGCACATAAATAAGAAAAAAGATCGATAAAGAATGATAAAGAGTATTAAGTTATTTAATGTATATTTATTCGATAATTGTTTAACTTGCTAATTAAAGTTTCTATTTTTATATTTTTTTTTTATTTCACTTAAACAATATATTATTGTTTAACTGAAAATTGACATTTTATATTTATAGTTTTTTTATTAATATTTTTTTTTTTTTTTTTTTTTGACAAATTAAGACTTCCTCTACAAATCCATAATTAAAAACGATTAG